TGAGCCGAGGGGGCGGGGCCAGGCCTAGAAGGCGGGGCCACACCGAGGAGGCGTGGCCAGGCTGAGGACGTGGAGCGATCTCGGGAAGGGCGGGGCCAGCTGGGGAGTGACGGCCATTGGGGAGGGGCGGAACCCGTTTTCCCGAGGGGGCGGGAGCCAGTCAGTCATCCGGGAGGAGCGGAGTCAGACAGGGAGGGGGGAACCAGGCAGGAGACAGAGCCAGCCCGAGGAGGCGGAGTCATCTGGGGCGAGGCGGAGCCAACTCTGGAGGGGGCGGAACGCAGGAGATGCGGAGCCAGTTCAGGGGGAAACTGCCCAGTTCGGGGAGGGCGGCGCCAATTATGGATGGGCGGGGCCTGTTCTGGGGAGGAACCAATCACGGAGGACGAGGCTGATCGAGGTGGGCGTGGCCTGTTGAGGGGCGGGGCGGGCACAGAGCGGCTCTCCACAAGCCCAGCGGTGTTTGCTGGGGGAGGAGGGGAAGGAAGGAGAGCCTGGGACCCCCTGAGGCATTGCAGGGACCGACTGCCCTCCCCACCGCACTGCAAAGGGGTGCAGGCAGGGGCGGGGTGCAGGCAGGGGAGGGGTGCGGGCAGGATGGGGGTGCAGGCTTGGGAGGGGTGCAGGCAGGATGGAGGTGCAGACGGGGGGGGGTGCAGGCAGGAGAGGGGTGCAGGCAGGATGGGGGTGCGGGCAGGATGGGGGTGCAGGCAAGGGAGAGTTGCAGGCAGGGCCAGGGCTGGAGTGGCGTCACCCAGGGATCCGGGCCAGGCTGCAAAACTTGGGGAAACATCAGTAAGGCCTGGGCACCCCCCAAATCCCCGAATTACTCCACTAAATAAACGAACCCGGGAGATGTGTGTCTTTCCCTCAGTTTCCCCACCGGAGCAGGGTAATAATGCCCAGGTAAGCAAAGCCAAGGAAAGTCTTACAATAATAACACTATCAAAATAATAATAATAACAACAACAATAACAACAGTCAGGCCCTGTGGCTCATGCCTGTCACCCTAACCACAGGAGACTGAGAGGATCGTGGTTCGAAGCCATCAGAGGACACAGATCCCAGCCCAAAAGCCCAGAGGTTGGACGCGTCACCGCTCAAGCGGTAGAGCACCAGCTGGACAACGACCCATTGAGCACCATGAATTAAAAACTAATACTGTAAATGAAGTTCAAATGAAGCGTTTGAAAGGCAAAGGCTGATCTTCAAAAGGAGCGCCTGCATTCAGGGCGGCCGAGGGCTTGGGCTGGACACAGCCAGGCCTTTCATGTAGGCTGGCCCTCGTGAGTCAGAGCCAGGACACCACCCAGGAGGCCTGACCCATGCCCCAAAAAGAAAAAACAACAGAATAAAAATTCCCTGTGTGCCGTGGCTGTGAGTCACCTGCAAAGCTAGTTTTCCACGCAGACCAGCGCAGCAGGAATAACCAAACTACAGCGCTCTGGCCCCGAGCCCCAAGAGCTCCTAAAGCAGGCAAAGAGCAAGCAAGCGCCTGGAAAAGATGAAACAGAGACTGCACACAAAAGCTCTTCCCAGCCCAGCCTGCAGTGGCTCAGCGCTGCCATCCTGGCTAGTCAGGAGTCTGAGATCTGGAGGATCGTGGTTCAAAGCCAACCTCCAGCAGGAAAAAGTTCTGGAAGATTATCTCCAAGGAACCAGCAAAGAGCCTGAAAGGGACACTGTGGCTCAAGTGGTAGAGCACCAGCCTTGAGTGGAAAAAGATCAGAGACAGTGCCCAGGCCTGAGTTCAAGCCCCATGACTTACCGACAGTCAGACAGACAAACAGACACACACACACACACACACACACACACACACATCACACACATCACACACATCACAAACGGCATTCTAAGCATCTCCCAGATATGTTTGCCCAAGCTGATTGCAAATCTGGACCTCAGGGAACCGCTGGGATTACAGGGGTGAGCTACCCGACACGCCTGGCTGGAGGAGGAGAGCATGCTACATGGGTGGACGATTGATCACAAGAAAGAGCCTTAACAATAACCCCCCAGACTTGAGTCCGCCGGGGTAAAGATGCCAACCTGCGCCTCACAACTGTGCCAGCCAAAGTCATTTTTTCCACTGCTCAGATGGGGAGACGCGAAGCTAGGGGCTGGGACACAAGACGGAGATACAAGATGCACGGGGGAACCTCAACTCTGTCCCAGCCTGAGTGTCCCCAAAGTGCAGAGAGGCTACTCTTACTTTTGTTTTGTCTAGTAACTCTTCCAGCCCTGCTTCGTGGTGTGTATGGGGGGGGAGGGGGGTAATAAGATCAGAGACAAACTCAGGCGGGATTTCCCCCCCTCCATAGCCCTGCCAGTGACCCCGGCCACACCCCAGCGTCCTGACACCCCCCTGCCCCCTGCCCGTGTCTTCATAAAACCACTCTGGGTCCATCAGGCCAAACCTAGACCCTGATTAGGGGGAGCCCACCAGAAGAAAGACACAAAGAAAGAAAAGAACCCTTCAGATCCGCAGCACCCGCTCACCTAGCTGCCTCTTTTTGCCCAGGCTAGATCTTGGGGATACAGAGCCTAGAAAAAGCACCCCCCTCCTCCACACACACACACACACACACACACACACACACACACACACACGCACGCACGCATGCACGCACCACGATTTTTCAACTAGAAAGTCCCACCACCAGAGTGGCAAGCTGAGATTTCTTCTTTCTTCCTCCCAACCCGGCAACAGAAAAGGGAAGAAATCAATGCTGCCTGGGAGTCGGTGGCTGGCTGCAGGGGCAGACACTCACCATGCAGGGTCAGGAAGTCGCGGCCAGCGTCCATACCGAGGGGGGAGACGTGGCTGCAGGAGGGTGCGACCGGACAGGCCCGAGTGAGAGGGGGGGGGTGGCGCTCCGAGCTCGGAGGAGGCCCCGAGCTCTGGGAATGGGCCGTGCAGGGGAAGGGGAAGGAGGTGGGAGGAGGCCCGAGGTGGGCTGAGACGCTGCCCCGCCCTGCCGGCCCTGGGGCCTCTCCACGCCCACTGCTGGTGGTTGTGGCTTGAAAAAAATCTGGAAGATTTGCCAACTTTGGGGCCTGGGCCACACCCACTCCAACCAGAAATAACCTCGGAGGCTTGTTGGCCATCCACTGGCCCTGTCATTACCGCAGCCTGCCTTCACTCCACCCTGAGCACCCCACCCTGGAGCAGCTAAGGCTGGGGCTGGGGCTGGAGGGGGCAGCAGCAAGGATGCCGGCTTCATTGCTGGAGAAGGGGAGTGGGAGGGGGTGGTGTCAAGTCTGATGTCCAGCTAGGTTGCGGCATTCTGTAGTCCCGGCTTCCCCATGCCTAGAGCTAACTGGAGGCCTGGGGGTGGGGAAGGGGGGAGATATAGAGGAGCTGGCAGACCTTTTTCTTTCTGTTAAAAAAAGGGGGGGTGGACTGGGAAGATAGCTTAGTGGTGGGGTGCTTACCTAGCATGCATCAACTAGGTTCAGTTCCTCAGTACCACATACACAGAAAAAGCCAGAAGTGATAGTCTTGAACAAAAGACGCTTAGGGACAATGCCCAGGCCCTAAGTTCAAGCCCAGGACTGACAAAGAAATGGGGGTAGCACAGGCCACAAGGAGAGGGGAGGGGTGTGCTGGGGTCCTAGGCATTTGAACTCAGGTCTGGGGCACTCTCCTTTATTTCCACTCCTGACTTTTTGCTGGTTCATTGGAGATAAGAGCCTCACGGGCTTTCCTGCCCAGGCTGGCTTTGAACCAGGGTCCTCAGATCTCAGCCTGCTCAGCATCTAGGATGACAGGCATGAGCCACCAGGAGCCCGGCTGAAGCAGCTCACAATTCTTCTCTGGCTCCCCCCCCCCCCCAGAAGTGCCAAGGCCAGCTCCTCCCTTAGCCTGGAGGTTGTGGAAGGACGGATAGACGAACAACTCTGAGTCAGAGCCTAGCCAGAGCCAACAGGTTCAGCCGGGAATGGGAGCTGACGACCTCTCGCCCTGCTCGGAGTGCTGACCTGCAGCCATTCTGGACCTGTTGCTGGCTGGCACACACGCGTGCCTGTGCATGTGTGCATGTATATGTTAGTTGTTAGTCAGATGGAGGAGGCCTGGAGAGAGTCCATGTCCCAACAACAAAGTCACTAGGCCGTGGCTCCTGTCCTTCCCCTCCCGCTGCCCTCTGTGCTCTGGCCGGATGCCCGTGATACCCCCCCACCCCGTTCCAGCCCCCCAGGAGATGCCAGGTCCCTGGTGAGGGGGGGGGAGGGAAGGAGGGGTGCAGCAAGAGAAACAAAGGGAAGATAACCAGTGGGACAGGGCAGCAGCGCAGAGCCGGGGGGAGATAAGGCCTCCCTTTCCTTTTCCTGGACACCCTGGGAAAACCCAGATAAATGCACATGGAGTGGAATGCCTCCCCTGCCAGGTGGGAGGACAGACCCACAGGGGACGGACAGACAGACGGACAGGGCAGGGTGAGGGGCAGGACAGAGATGCCCCAGCAGCAGAGCTGCTCAGAGGGAGCCGGATGGCGGCTGTCCAGCCAGGCTGGGCTGGGAGGACCACCGAGGCGGGAGGCCCGGGAAGGAAGGGCCACCGTGGGACTCTGGTCTCCCGTGCCATGCCAAAAGGCCGGAAGTGGAGCTGCGACCCAAGGGGCAGAGCGCCAGCCCTGGGCGGAAAGCTGCTCAAGAACAGCGCCCGGGCCCTGAGCTCAAGTCCCATGATGGACAAAAGGGAAAAAGGAAGAAGAAGAGGAAAGGAAAGACAGCCCATGGGCAGCTTTTATTTTCTTCCACGATCGGGAGTGACCTGCTACTCCACTGACAGACTGACAGTCCGTTAGAGTCAGGGTTCACACCGGGCTCGCGGCCGTGCGGCCCGGCGACAAAGATGAGAACTACATCAAGGCAAAATGAGGGCATCGACTCGAGAGAAAGTCCAGGACAAGAGTCGATTGTGAGGATGGCGGCCCTGCCCGGAGGGGCGGGGCCCGGAGGGGCGGGGCCCGGAGGGGCGGGGCCCAGGACGGGACCAGAAGGCAGGATGGAGAGGAGGCGGGGCCAAGCCCGGGAGGGGGCGGGGCCAGCCCGGGGGCGGGGCCTGGAGGAGGCAGGCCCTGGCCCAGGGAGAGGCGGGGCCAGGGCAGGTGCCGGAAACGGGGCGTGGCCGTGACCGGCGGCGGCGGCGGCGGCGGGACGGGGGCGTGGCCGGAAGCAGCCCGCCCCGCTGCAGGCGTTGAGCGTCTTTCCGTTGCCATGGAGTCCGCGGAGCCCGCCAGTCCCCCGGACCGGAGGTCCCAGTGGTCCCAGGGTTATGACTATGGCGACACGACGTGGGGGCCGACCAGCCCCAGCCAGTCCACCAGGAAGTCCTCCCTGCAGTCCTCCTCGTACTCGGAAGCGTACCAGCACGGCCTGGCGCTGCGGCCCCGCCGCCTGGGGCAGCTTTCGCTGGCGCTGGTCCCGGAGCCGCAGATGCTGCGGCTGCGCCCGGCCTCGCGGCGCAGCCAGGACGTGTCGCACCTGTTCACCTGCGTCTTCCGCAACCAGTACTCGGTGCCCGTGATTGGGGAGGACCTGGGCGCCAGCTTGGTCCGAGCGCGCGGCAGCACCGACTCCCGCCACCTGCAGTTTGTGGAGCAGCTGCAGCAGGTGAGGGGGGTGCCTGCAGCACTGGGCC